GTGTCTAGGCACGATAAAAAGTTCATTCCCAATAGTTTTAGAATGCATGGCATAATTATTAGATAAATCTCCAAATCTCCAGTGCTTGAGTAAGAGTAATACGTGTCCAGGTGTATGATCATGTACGTGCCCATGTGCACAATTATATGTAGTTTTAGTGATTTAGATGACAACCCGATCATAACATATGTGTTAAGATATGTTAGATATGCTCCAATAGGTCTAGGGATGCAAGGGAAAATGTGGTTCGAATCCCGACGAAGAAACGGAGTCAAAATAAAGAAATTAGCAAAAATGAGAGCCTGATCGGACTAGTGGCAATGGCATGAATACTCAACATGCCAGACGATCGACTAGAGAGTTAGTGGCACTGTGCTTGAGCATTGAACAAGGCTTGTTTGGCAGAGCTACTGAAGCAGCTTCTAGGCTGAATCTAGGAGGAGCTCTGCCAAACCGTTTTTTAATGATAAGTGAATGTCTAAAATGAACTAGGAGGCCATGAGATGAAAGAAGTAGCTTCTTCTGATTCATTCCATGCATATAGTTTATTCAAGAGAATCATAGAGAATTATTTTTAGTCAAAAAGCACTTTTCTTAGAGAATCAACTTCCATAGAGAATTTGGAGCAGGAACCAAACAACCCGTAACAACTTATGCAGAGACAATTATGTGCTAGCGTCTATGTGGAAACTTATATTGTAGATGTTCTCCAACTTATTATAAATAATTGTTGCAACATCTATATGGATTAGCAACATGTTATGAATGTGTTTAGAAAAAAATTCTATGAATATGTCATAACATGTGATTGGTGGTGTGTATAGATCATAAGCAAAAAATAAGCTACAAACCTAGGGCGAACCATAAACACAACCCCTACAATAATTCTCGATTGTAACAAGTTGTAAATTGGGAGGAGGGACAACCATAACCAAAACTCTTGCACCGTCTCTTAATCACAACAAGCTGCATTGGCGGAACCATAGGGAAGGTTTGGGACCGCAGTGTGGCGGCCGCGCGGTGTGGTATTACGACCATGTCCTCCCACATGCAGCATAAGAAAGGTGAGCAGTAGTTCATTCTCGTGGTGGTTGCGTCTCATGTGCCGAAAAAATCATCGATTCTTGTGAGGCGTTTAGGGATTTTTTTTATTCCCGTAGTGGAGCAGTTGCAGATTTGATTTTAATCGTAAACAAACACACCCATAGTCACAACATCTGCTATGAATTCTAAAAAGTAGCAACCCTAATCAATAAGCACGAGTATACATGGCTAGTATTTGATGATTAGTAGCAACCTTAATCAATATAGATGCTATAATCCTAACCAATATACACAAGTATGCAGGAGTAACAGGACCCATGTTTGAGAAACCTAAAAAGAAGCAATCCTAATTAATGTGGATGTTGTAACCCTAATCAGTATACATGAGTATACTAGACCTGTGGTTGATAATTCTACAAAGTAGCAACCTGATGAGAGTCGATAGGGCAAACTCATATCCCTAATCAACCTCTTGTGGCTTCTAATCAATATGCTCGCTACAAACCTAATCAGTGTGGGTGTAATGACCCCTAATCAGTATGGATGTTGCAACCTAAATCGTGACCCATATTTGAGAAATCTAAGTGGCAACATGCCGTATTTGAGAAATCTAAGTAGCAACATGAACAAATGGTAGGGGGGCCATGTTTAGTATGTCTGCTGCAACCCTAATTAGTATGTGTTAGGTTTAGTCTTGTATCGGTAATTGATGGTGGGGGAGCACAATATATAAGGCGAGGGATGTCCTCACCTATCAGGTTAGTCTTTTGGGTTGAGTTAGGCTCAAAGCCATTTGTGTGTTGTGGGCTCCGGTGGACCTGAGCCCGAGGGGCGCCGGCTTGTGGGTATAGCGTGCTGGGACGGTATCCGCTGCGCACTCTAACAGTATGCATGAGTATCCAGGATATGTATTTGAGAATTAAAAAATAGCAACCTGAGTAGATGGTAGGGAAAACCTTATAACCTAATCAATATGCTAGTTTCAACCCCTAATCGGTAGCCTAATGCAATCCTAATCAATAATTCAGTATGCCCACTGCAACACTAATCAATATGTCAGCTACAACAAATTGGTATGTGTCGTGATCCATAATCAGTATGGATGTGGCAATCTTAATCAGTTTGTCAGCTGCGACGACGAGTTCACGGTTGTGTAGAATGTGTTGAGGGCAGTCACTGAGTAGGCAGAAACATCAACTCAGATAGCGTGACAACAATAATTCCGGTGGAAATATCATGATTAGTGTTTATTCGTCAACAAGTTGTCAGTTTTCAGCAATCAATCAACAGTACAGCCTCTTGACAATGAATATGAAAATTATTAATACTAGATTTTCCTTTCAAAAAAGTAAATGAAACTAATACAAGTCTCTACTATAAGGAGCCAATCAAAATTATGATTACGTTCCCTGTTGAGATAGCCTAACCACTGTACACAAAAAAAAATTATACCTAGAATTTCAACGTCATTAAGATCAATGGGTGCTAATCCTCTTCCAACGGCTTCGACCCAATCTGACGGCCAATGTTATTTGGATCGTCCCATGCCACGCCAGGCTTCAACGCTGCTGCCCCCCTACAAACTCGCGCAACGCATCGCCCAGTCCAGGTTCGATTCCTGCCCGGCGCTCCTTTTATTTTCTTGCGCCCACGCCGCGCCCCCGAGGCCTTGTCGCCCCGACGCAGCCTGCGCAGGTGGCCGGATCCGCTGATGTAATCCCGATAATCACGGCGCTAGGCTAATCAAGTCAATCACGGTCAATCACGTACGGTAACCGACCCCCGCTGATGATGCTTCCATTCCGCCACTTCTCCGCCGCTGCCAATGAGGAGATCGTGTCTCCCCACCCCATCCCGCCCCTAACGTTCCCAATCCTCTGCCGTGCAGGCCGCTCCCCTTCCCTGCACCCTGTCGCCCCTCCTCCCACACGCTGACGCCACCGCGCCAGCCTCCGTGCTCACCTCTTACGGCACCGTCGAGATGGAGGGTGCCACCCTGCGCTGCGACAGCCGTCTTCGGCCTCTCCACCGTCGCGATGGCAGTCTCCCTCACCAGGCTCCCTCATGGAGAAGATGCCGCACATCTACCTCGCATTCGACGGTGCCGAGGCTTTCCCCAGGGATCGACGGGGTTGGCGGGGTGACCGGATTGAAGCAGATTTCGTGTTGATTCGGAGGCTTTTGCTTCTGTTTCCCGTGGAGATTTGGGGTCTGCGGCGAAGATGGCACCTCCGAAATCCGGGGAGAAGGCGACCTGCTTCGCCTTGGCCTGGAGCCTGCTCAGCCGCTACGGCAGGAATAACGGCGCCGCCGCCGCCGATCTTGGCCTCGCCATCAGAGGTGAACTCTCTTTTCTTGTCGAGGAAAAGTTGAACACTCGAGCAGCTCCGTACATGTCATGTTTATCTGTTGGGACTTTAACAATGTCTGTTGAGGGGAGAAGACAATGTCTGTTGAGGGGAGAAGTGGTGAATTGGGGTGCGATTCATGCTAAAAGTTGCTACTTTGAGCACTCAATGAGTGGCGTCATGTTAAATCCATTTCTGGTTTGAAGATGCATGCCAACATGCTTCATCAATGACATCTGGAAACTGGAATAGTATGCGCTGATCTTCTATGCTTCACCACCTGATTATCAATGGGCTCTTTCCTGAGGAAACAGCCCAGCTACCTCTTCATTTTCGACTAAATTTAAGGCAGGTGGGTATTGAGTGAAGTAATCTCTAATTTCTTTAAGCCTATCTGGCTGGTATTGAGTGTAATAGTGTCCTATAGTCCAGAGATAAGAGATGGGCAACCAAAATTAACTGGGTGGCGTGATCTGTGTAACACGACGGGGACGTTGAGGAAGCAGCTGCAGCATGCTTGGAGGGGATTCGATAGAAGCAGAAACAGAAGCTGCAGCATGCTAAAGTCTAACAGCTCATTTTTTTTCTTTTGTTGACACGTGCAAGTACAACTTGATCGCTCCTTGGTGGTATCGATCGCCCATGATCTTAGCAAAAAGGCTGGTAGCTGCAAAGCTCAAGAATTGAGAAGTTCGGAGTGGAGCGAAATAATGTTGTACATGAACGCGTATGTTTTGCCAAGTCATGTCAAAGAGTCTTGTTTTGTAATAATATTGTTGAATCCGCGATAATAAATAGCTCTCTTTGGCAAAGAGGTGGGTGTAACTTTAGTAATTTTGGATCTAGATCTTTTGAAACTAAGTATTACTCAGGTAAATCAGTTTTTGTTGTTTGATTTGCATTACCTAATAACATCGTAGCGTTAGCACAGATATTTATACTAGTATTATCCTAGTCATACCTTTTCATCATATGAGACTCCTAACAAGCATATACAGCCAGTTCTACTCTTAGACCTTGTTTAATTGGTCAAACTTTGGAAATTTAGCTACTGTAATATTTTTATTTTTATTTAGTAATTAGTGTTCAATCATGGACTAATTAGGCTCAAAACATTTGCCTCGTAATTTCCAACCAAACTGTGCAATTAGGTTTTTTCGTCTATATTTAATGCTCCATGCACGTATCACAAGATTTGATTTGATGTAATAGTTACTGTAGCATTTTTTGAAAAAGTTTTTTTTACTAAACAAGGCCTGAAGTCAAAAGTAGCAGTCCTACTTGCGGTACCAAGAACCTAACTTTTTAGCAATCCAATAAAAAAAGGTGCCTTGAATAACCGCAACATTCGCAAAATTAAATAAACAATTGGGCATGTTTCTTTCTTCCGGGTTAGCCGGATAGGGCAAACAAAGCTACTAAAACGCGGAGGACAAAATGGAGAAACACTCGGCCAAACCTGTGACACTGTATGTATCAGTCCAAGACCAAATTCCCAATCATCCGAAGCTTAATGAAACTTAAACCTATAGAAGTTTGGCCATCTGAAGCGGAGAAGTCAAAGAAAAGGAATTGGAAAGAACATCAAGAAGACAAGAACTGAACAGGTCAGCAATACTTTGGCATTCCCATGGGCCCAAGGTTGGATAAAGAATTCGTCACTGTGATTTTAAACGCTATAGTAACTCGAAATGACCGTGTTTTCCCCAGTCCGTAGCAAAGAAAGGGGATGCTCTCAGAACAAACTGTAGCAGAAACGTCTGTGGCATACTCGCATCGCATATGGGATAGAAAACGAGCAACGTTTATGCACAACACTGCTACTGCCTCCAAACCAGAAGCAGATTTTTCTAGCAGTCTGACGGCAGACTGAAGAGGAAGAAGCATCACGAACAGTCCCATCCATTGATGCCCTAAGAAACATATAGAGAGAAGTCCGAACAGAACAGAACCAAGGGGGCAAAGGCAGTGTTCTTGGCATGCTAAACCGAACACATATATGCTTCAGTTGAGGAGAGATGGGAGAACTAGGGGAGCATGAATCGCGAACCGTCGTCGGAGTTGGTGTCGGCGGTGGCCCCGGTGAAGACGGAGAGCGAGAGTAGCGCCGCCACTCCGGCCACGCCCAACGCCATGCCTGGAGCTGCTCTGCACTCAGTGGTGTTCTCGCTGGAGTATCCAAGGAAGAAGGTGAAGGGGAAAAAAAATAAAAGTTATCTGCCTCTGTTCACTTCCCTTCTCTCTTCTCCCTTCCTCTGTCCGCTCTTCCCCTGTTTGTTTGTCAGTGTGACAGTGTGTGTGTTTTGCTTTCTCCTCGCTTTCCCTCAGCGCGCTCCCGCATTTATATATATACGTCCACAATCTTGTCAGCGTCAGAGAGGTAATCAGGACGACAGAAGTGCCCTTGGAAAGGACTTGTTTCACGGACGTTTTTAACTTGTATTTACTGCTTTTCCAAAAGTACAGTACAGTATAATCTGGGTCAATTTAGAAATATATTTGAAAAAAAATAGTTCCATCGGCTTCGAGTTCATTTAAGGTGAAGAGGACAGAAAAGCTTCTAAACAGGTAGCTAAACAAGCTCTAAACGAAAACAGGGGAGCGCGTAGTATTTTGGAATGCGGCTCGCACATGTTTCCCCTGTGCTGTTACGTTGTGCGCGCATTGTCACTGCTAGTCTACGGCTACACATGGAGATGGAGGCCGGCTGGTGGAGTGGTGGTGGTGGAGATGCATGGATGATTCTCTGCCGTCGGCTGGATCATGTCCGGACGAACACGGACCCGGTGGCTGCCTAGTAGCAAGATTGCTATAGCCAATGGAGTGTACTACTACATGTAGCCTACATGTAGGAATGAATGCCCCCGCGACCTGAGGCGGACACGATGTTTGTGATGACGAAAAAACAAGAGCGGATGCATCAGTCAGATTTGCGTTTGTGTTGCTTGTGTTGTGCGTGACTGTAACATCACCAACACACCACCAGCAGTATTTCTGCACCATGCCCATGGACCATGCATGGTATGGGCCGGCCTAAGGACGTAGCGGAGGTCAGTCATTCTAATTTTTTTTAAGAGTCGAAACATCTTAATTTTTATCAAATTTATATAAATAATAAAATAATAATAGCATTTATAATATCAAATAAGTTTCATTAGATTCTTTATTGATTATATTTTTATAGTACTTATTTGATGTCATAAATCTTTGTAATTATTTCTATATTAATTTGGTTAAACTTAAGATGTTTTGACTCTCCAAAAAAGTTAGAATAACTTATAATTTGACGGAGGGAGTACTACTCAAGGTCACACTAAAAGCAGTATCTCTGCCTAAACGGCCGCTTAAACCGGCCATATAACTTGTGACCATAATTAATCAAAATCTATGTATATTAAGTGCACAAAAGACACCTCGGACCTTATTTGGTTACACTAGTATCCACGTTAATCTATGTGTGTGGGACTGAATTAAGATCGAACTTAGTTTAATTTATACTCCAATTCACCCTAACACACATGAATTAAGGTGGATACGAGTGTACCGTAACAAACTCTTTATGGATTTGTATTCCACATGTCTTTAGGTAAGATGTTGCCATTATAGTAATTGGTAATATGTGTGGCATAAATTAGCGGTCAAAGGATACCTTTTGGCTTTTCAAATACACAAAGGAGCCCTGTTAAACCGTCAAAAAACAATACCTTTTATTTCTTTTCAAAAACACACTATTAAGATTTGAGGGGGATTATAAGAGAAGCGAACATGACCAAAGGGTGCAAAAACTTTTTCCCCTTTCATTCATCCGCTTATCGTGTTACTTCGAGGTAGGGAAATGGGAAAAGTTTTTTTGCTAAAAGACGTCCATTATTGGACATTGCAAAGACGTTCGGATGATTATTTGGTTTGTTGTGAATATTGACTAGTGATAAGTCTACTAAAATCCAAGTGAAAACGACGACTAAAGCGACGGCATATATAGCACGCCGGCGGCCTTTTCGTTCTTGGTGACTTTTTGCCTCTCCTCTGGCTATGATCCACCGACAGCGTTCTTTAGCTCGCTCTTGTCCTTGGTTGGATTCAAGAGTGACGCGTCCATGCGACACAATAAAAGGCAGAATAACCGTTTTGTCCCTAAACTTCCAAAACGGCCGTTTTAGTCCTTAAATTCTACTTTTAGGCTCAATTTCATCCTAGAATTATGAAGATGATCGTTTCAATCCTCAATTTTTGTATTTTGGGCTCAATTTCATCCATAAACTACAAAAGTACATTTTGGTCTTTAAACTTTTATTTTTCAACTCAATTTTGTCTATTAAAAAGAAAAAATTATATTTTAGGCAAAATTTCATCCATGAATTATCAAAATATATTTTGGCAATTCGTCCTTTATCCAACACCACCCACGATTTGAGATGGACAGTCATCGTTAGGTACTATTGTTCCTAGCGTCGTCCCAGCTACCAAATCGGATTTGTATTCATATTCTAAGATGAATATAAATATAGATCTAAATATTCTTAAATATGAATTATTTTTAGCCAATGGATAAAAATATTATTTTATACACAAATGGTTATTAGTTGAGCCTAATGCTAGAAGTAGCTAAGGAAAAAATTATAGATCTGCTATTGTTTCATTATATCCATGTATTCTTAAGGAATAAATAACGTTTGAAGCAATTGCAATTGCTCCCACAAAAATCATCTATAGTTGGATATATATATATATATATATATATATATATATATATATATAATACCATTATAGTTGGATATATCGCTAGTGGTGTTGAAGCTGACCAGATGCAACAACACAGCGTTCCACATAGAATGATAGACAAAGTTGAGTTTGAAAATAAAAGTTTAAAGTCCGAAATGCAAAGTTTGAAGATTAAAATTATCATCTTCATAGTTGTAGGATGAAATTGAACCCAAAATGCAAAGTCTGAAATGATTATCTGCATAGTTCTAGAATGAAATTGAGCCTAAAAATACAGTTTGAGAACTAAAATTGCCGTTTTTAAAATTTAAGGATGAAACTGAGCCTCAAATAATAGTTCAAGGACCAAAATGACTATTATGCCACAATAAACTAAGATGGCCAATGCTACAGTTCTCTCTTTATTTATTGAAGGTAATAGCTTAAACAAATCTGAGCCATTAATTTTTTAGATTTTTAGATTAATTAATTAATTGCCTAGAAAAAGAAAATAACTTAAATCCTCAAATTAAATTATGGGAGACACATGAGTAGGCGCATGGACTTTCATTGTTTGTTCCTTTGCATGCAAAGCCTTCCGATCGTGCAAACCCATCAACCAAAGACAGCCCCACGGCACGCAGAAATATCCAGTGATTACACATTTTCCCTTTGATCACATTATAAAAAAGTTACACAGTAAAGCACGATGTCGTACACACGTCTGTGAATATCACGTTCTACAAAACGCACCTGTATATATCACGTTCCAAAAAGGTTACCACTATATTACGTACCATACACACCTCTGTCACGTTAAAAAAATAATTGCTAACTCTCCATCACGTTGGAAAAAAGATCGTACCAAACTTTCCAAAAAGAAACAGACAGCATATTTGGACACTTAATTTCCTTCCAAAATTAAAAATAATTAAATATACAATTTCATTATTACCTCCTATAAAGTAATGTATGGTAAAAGATATTCGGATCGAGAGCCCACGGTTATTTGGGAGTGCCACAACAAAGCCCAACTAATATACATTAGTCCCTTTTTGCCCTTGGTGGTTCACTCTCTCAACACTTAGCTATTTCATTTCATAACTTATGCTTGTGTTGTTGCTTGCCTAACAGTAGCTTTCTTAGCTTGCTCCTAGCTTGTTTAGTTAGTTGCCTTGCTCTAGTATGAGTAGTGTAGTTGTCGCTCTCCATATTAGCTATCTAGTTGCTAGGTGGTAGTTCTAGTTGTGTGCTTAATTCTTGTTGTTACAACTAGACTTGTGTAGGGCTTGCTTCGTGGTGTGTCGGCTAGCACTACTACAAAATGATTTTGCGAGGCAGGCCAAAATATTAATGGAGGCGGGCATATCTAGCGACCACCTACGTAAATGATTTGGAGAACTCCAGGAAAATGCCCGTCTCCCAAAATCATTTATGGAGATGATTGCCTCCGAAAATCATTGATTAACGGAGACGGTCGTCTTAGGACTCTACCTCGATAAATCGATTTAGAATTATCAAACAGTCTTGGTTGTTGACATAGTCTATATGAAAGTTACAGCTCTCAATAGAATCTACAACTTTATAGTTGAAAAGCTTTTTATTTGAAGTTGTTTCGAGTTCCAAATATGTGTTTGAAGGTTATAGATTTTGAAATTTAAAATTTAGAATTCCTAAACGATCTTGAATGTTCACATAGTGAATACAAAAGTTGTAGTGGCCGACCTGAGCTACATGTTTACTATTGACAAGTTTTTTATTTAAAGTCGTACAGAGTCTCGAATATGTGTTTTAAATTCACATATTTTTATATTCAATTTTTTGAATTTTTTAAATAATCTCGGATGGAGATACATCATAAACTAAAGTTGTAGTACTTGATAAGATTTAAAACTTTATAGTTAAATTTTTTTCATTTGAGTTCATTTAGTACCCAAAATATCTAATATAAGATTACAAAATATTGATATAAAATAATAACATATTATATATAGACATGAATGAGTATGTGGTGGAGTAGTAGAGATGAGGAAGTGTTGAGTGTTAGGTCATAGGTTCAAATCCTATGAGTCATAATTTTTTTGGTTTTTGGGTTTTTCGGAGGCCGTTGACGGAGGCGGACGTTTTAAGGTGGCTGCCTCCGTAAATGGCATTGATGGGTATGGTGTCCGCCTTCGAAAAGCCTGATTAATTAACGAAGGCCTTTTGACGTAGCGGTTGCCGTGCCCGCCGCATTTAATAGAAAATGTCTGTCTCGGTTAATAAATCCTGTAGTAGTGTAGGCAAGTAGTGGTTATTAGGATCATCTCTTTTACTAACACACTTGTCTAGTGTTTTGAGCTTGTAGAAAATTTAATTAGGTTATTCATCCCCTCTAGCCATTCATAGATCTTTCAGTTGCTCTAAATAGTTGTACCTTTTCTTTTTTTCTTTT